CGGCATAAGTTTTATTTCCTTATGTTTTTTCAGAAATGAGAATGATTTTGATTGGTTCTCCATTATACTGACATGTTATTATAACAGAATAAATTCTATATTTCTAAAAAAAGTTGTCAAATTATGTCATTTTACTAGTATAACGAGATAAATAATACGTGTCATTTAATTTCGTCATTCGTAATTGATTTCGTCACGCGTAATTGATTTCGTCACCCGTAATTGATTTCGTCACGCGTAATTGATTTCGTCGCCCGTAATTAATTTCGTCACCCGTAATTAATTTCGTCACCCGTAATTAATTTCGTCACCCGTAATTAATTTCGTAATTAATTTCGTAATTACGTATTACGTATTACGTATTACGTTTTTGGCAAAATAATTACCATAGCATGTATAATCAGGTAATTAAAGTATATCACTTGAATAACCCAAATTCATTTCTAAAAATTTTGTTGAAATATTAGGAATCTGTCCAAAAAGATTAGCATTGCCAGAATTAAAAAATGAGTTGACAAATCGAGGAATTGTATATGATAATCAAAATAAAAGGCAAAAGCTAATAGAAATGTTGGATAAAGAATTGAGTCAAGAAACTTTAGCAAATGTGGAAGGTAATAATATATGTTCATGATATTTTTAAATGTTGTAAAATTTTACTAACCTAGTTTTAGGCTTGCCTTTGAGAAATCGAAGCATGGTTCATCAGGAACAAGAAATAAGGTAAGATTAGACAAATAATATTTTTTTGTTTTATAATAATAATAGATATAATTAAATGCTTTAGATATCACAGCCCATTAGAATCATCTGAGTTTCCACTAGTAGGTGGTTGGGCATTGAAAGAAGTCCAAAAATATGGGAAGAAGGGTGGTGGTAAATGTATGCCAAAAAGAATCATTCTCATTTTAGAACAATGTTTTTTGACAGGAAATATTGATAAGAGTTACTGAATGAGTCCTCAAGAAATGTTGGATGTTTTGAAATCAAAAGTAGAAGAAGGAGAAATTGAGAATTCAGATTTACCAAAATTACCAACTATACAAGGATGGATAACTAGATATTCAGCACAGTTACGTGAGAAAAATGCCAAAACAACACTTGGAGTCAGTAATTGAAAAACTCCTATAAATTTACTTTATTATTTAAAAAATTTATATAATATATGTATTAGATTTAAAAAAAAATATATACCTTCAATAAAAAAATTTCTTTTAAATTTATATACATAAAATTTTTTAAATTTCGAATTTATATAATAAATTTAAGTGGGAATCCAGCTTGGCGTCATATAGAAGTAAAAATAATTCATAGGAAAAATTTTTTAAAAATTGATATATTAAATCCTTGAGATTTTATGAACGTATTACAAGTATAATTGTTGTTTCTAAATCCATATATAGGAAGGTTACCTTAGAACTAAAACTTGGGCTTCGGAAAAAATCAATTAATGATCAGCAAAATTTAGCACCAAAATCGACTATTAATTTTCTCTACTTGTTTCACGGAACACGAATTAACTTTAATTAAATAATTATTCTTTAATCCAATGGGGATGCCTGATGGGTTTGTAAATACTTAGTATTTACAAGGAAGGCTGGCCAGCAGTTAAGACTTAATTATTTATTAATTAAGCAGGAAAGACTTAGTTATATTTAAAGAACTAAGCGGTTGAAAGACCTAAAAAGGGATGTTAATTGTCCAGAAGACTTAGTTATATTTGAAGAACTAAGTGGTTGAAACACCTAAAAAGCGGACAGTATTTGGAATTTCCCTGACGAATTTGGGATTTAGAAATTATTTTTTGTTTAAGTTATTTTATTTTATTTGGTATTTTATTATTTTATTATTTGGAGAAGGAGTAAAGAAATTAATTAGAATTTCTAAGTAAATTTAATTCATATAAAACTGAACACAAAATAAAATTAATTGTGGACGGTAACACAAATTAAATTAAATTGAATTATTGTTAACTTGAATTATTTCAAGGATAACGCAGTAAATAAATAATCGGACACTCATTGTAACTCTAGCAAGTTACAATACAGAGGGAAATTTCCTCAATTACTTTTTTATTTTCAATCAAGATCATCTTTTAGTCTCTTTGACTTCAATTTGAGCAGTTAATTGACCAATTTGCTATTGTAGTTGTGCTAATTGAGTTTTTAAATCACTGATTTCTTTTTCATAAGCAGTTACTTTATCAAACTAGTCCTTGTGGAGTTAATTTTTTCAGCCTTTCTACTTCAATTTCTAACTCTTTTATTCTATCCAAGAGTTCTTGCTTTTGTCTTTTACTCCATTCTTCAGATTTCTCTTGAAACTTAGCCACTTCTTCTCTTTCAATCTCCAATGCCTCTTCAGTCTCATTTAGCTGTTCTTGTAAAGAATTTATTTGTCTTTCATAAAAAGCAGACTGACTTATTTCTTCATCAGGTAAGAGGGGAAGTTCCTTCTCTTCCAAGTCTTCATTGTTTCTAACACAGTAGCAAAGTCGTCGGAGGAGGGGTATGGCGCTCCGAAAATTTCATCGCTCCCCTTGATATATTGCCCCTTTGTGGCTCCAATACCAAAATGCTATCCAATATACTGGTACAAATACATATAATATCTCTTAGTACCAAGATGGTACCAAAGATTGTACCAAAAAAATACATAAATACTAATCAATTTACTTTCCAAATAATCCAAAAACATCAAAATCAACATCATCAATCATTGGTACAATGGTACAAGGACAAAAATCAAAATCTAGAGGAAACTATGCTCCTATATATAATTTTCCCTGAAATATCCTTGTACCTTTGTACCAACCCCCTTATTATACCAGGAAAGTATTAAATCCATATCTAGAACATCAAATTCGATATTAGGCTGGTACAAACTGCCCTTTTGCCCAAGTTATAACCAAAATTGTACCAATTTCCTCTATACTTCCTGTGTAAAAAAATGAATTGAATTAACCCACATTATAGGTATCATACAAAAAAATTTATTCGAATACCTCAACCAAAATTAAACAAATCCAATATTAGTATTATTATCAAAAAATGAGTACACAAAGTCAACTCCCAGTTATTCATAGGAGACAAAGTCTCGAGTCTCCAACTCACCCATTAGTTATACCCGAAATTCTTGAAAATATATTCAGATACCTCCCTACAACAGCATTGGTTAGAGTAACCTATGTTAGTAAACTATGGAGATTAGAGGCCAGAAATAAACTTTATCAAAATCGTAGTGAAATTATATATGATTTCCATAAGTGGTTCTTGAACACATTCAGGCTTAAGTGGGGTATTCCTCAACAATTAATGCCAGATTTTCATGTATCTATTGCCAAAGCTAAAAAATTTCGAGATACTTTTCAGTTAAATATTAAGGCAGAACTACTTATTATAAGAGACCAACTACAGGATAAGTATACATCTATGGCAGTGGCATATAAAGAAAAAAATCAAGCCTGTGTAGAATCCCATGAATTATTTCGTGTTGATCCAGGAAATATTGTAAATTATGCTAATTACCAAAAATTGGATAGAGAACGAATGCTTATTCAACATAATAGATTCAATTTACACTGAGAATTAGTAAACTTTGAGTATTATCTATTAAGAATGAATATCATTACAGACCTTGATGAAATTGACATCATTATTGATAAATGCACAAATCTTCAGGATGAGGAGGAAGAAATGATATGGGTAGAACAATTCTCAAATCCCAGTAATATTTATTCTGATGCTGATTTTGATGATTCCTTTAACTTTTGGGATGATCCCAATTCTGATGAATTTATGAATGAACTCTTTAATGAACATGACCTGACCTAATAAGGTTTTTACTACTTCTCTGCCATAATCTTCTTAGCGAGTTTTAAGGCCTTCTTATTCTCTTTGGCCCTTTCCTTTTTTTCCTTAGCAATAGCTTCTTCAGCAGGAGTCTTTAATTTAATCGATCCATCCTTAGATACAAAAGTATGTTTATTAGTACCACAAACAACACATTTGCCAATTAATTTTTTTCGACCACTTTCAGTAGTTTCCAATCTCTCAGATACAGAATTTGTTTTGGCATGGCATTTAACACAATAAGTTTGAGCCATCTTTTAAACTTAAGATACATTATTTCAAATAGACACACAAATGACATCACTTTGATTTTTCCGAATATTCTCAATTGCACTCAATCTCCCTACTAACTCATCTAATGAAAGGTCCAATCCACATATTCTGGCTTCTATTTGGTTATCAGGTGATAATCCATGAAAGAATCGATGTTTAAGATGATCTTCATTATATCCAACTGATTCATTACATTTTTTTTACTTTTGTGTAAAAATCCATTATCGAACTCTCCTCTTGTCTCAAATCCCCAAATCAAAACTTTTGAATATCAGTAGGTCCAGTTGAGATTCTATTCAAGTGATTGACTATCTTATTTATGGGTTCATTGATTCCAAACCGAATTGTATTTATCTTGTTCTCTAGTGATAACCCAATAAAAAACTTTTCTTTGATTTCCTTATTATTTATATTGACTCCCAATGCTATAGCATATGTTTTTATCATTTTGAAATACTCATCTATTGATGAATTGCATTGAGTGGGTGCTGGAATATCCCTTGAACCATATTCTGAATAAGTTTGAGCCATCTTTTAAACTTAAGATACACACTTTCAAATAGGTTTTCAAAATGTCAACACCAATAGATCGTTACTATAAACTCTTTTCATTATCTGGAGTGTCTCCCAAATTATTAAAGAATGAGGAACACTTCAATCTCCATGTTAGACCAAAAAAAGAGAAGTGTTCAGAACAACCAAAAGCAATTGTCTGGGAGGCTAATGCAGTACAAGATTCAGATTTGCTAGAGTTACCAATGGATATCTATATTCACATATAGTTATTGATGTTTCAACTCGGGATTTGGATGGAAATCCACTCAAAAGTAAAGATGCCAAAACAGTACTAGATTCATTCAAAAGTATTTATGAACGAGGTCATGTAAAACTTCCTACTTTCAGAGTCAACACTGATACTGGAAAAGAATTTGATAATCATTTATTCCGAGATTTTTTCACAAAGGAAGTTAAAGTGCTAACAAAATTTGGATTTCCTGGAAAACATAGACAGCAATGCTTTGCAGAAAAGTTCAATCAAAAAATACAAAGGCCTATCTTGGAATGAATGAATGCAGAGGAAATGTTAACTGGAATAACTTCTGTAGAATGGTCCAATGATTATCCCATGCTGATAGAGGCTATTAGAAAGGAATGGAAACGTGATCCTCTTCCTATTCCAGAAGGTCTTCCTAAAATTTCGAATAAAGATGATTTACTACAAGAAGGAACTCGAGTTCGAGTTATGTTATTTGAGCCTAAATCTGTACTTGGACAAAAATTACATGGCAAATTCCACACAGGTGATATTAGGTGGGATCCAGAAATTCAAGTAATTAAAAAACTTATATTAAGTCCTGAGCAACCACCAACATATCTTGTTAATGGCCCTCATGGCAAGTTGGGAGTATCACGTTGTGCATATACTAGAAAACAACTCCAAGTAGTTCCAGACAATGAGAATCCCCCTCCAGATTCAGTTATTCATAGTAAACAATATAAATTCATTCCCGAAAAAATTCTTAAGCAACGAACTTACAAAGGTAAAAAACAATACCTTGTTAAATGGCACTGATATCCTGAGAGTGAATCAACTTGGGAACCAGCAAATAGATTTAAAGAGGATGCACCTAATCTTGTAAATGAATTTCTGGGAGTAAAAAAATAGCAGAGCTAGCCGGCTAATTATATTTCAATTTTTTTGAAATGCATATATAACTAATGATTTAATGCTTCCAAAACTGGTGAATTCATTTTTTTGTGCTCATCTCTTGCTGGAATTATAGGGATAAAGAAGTCCTTTCCATTACAAGTAATAGCCATATGCTTTCTAGATTCAAGTAAATCATAGTTATATTCTCTAAGACGAGGTCGGTTCAAAATAAGCTCATGATATGGATAGTTTGCAATTACAGCAAAATCATCTGTTATAGTACATCCTGGTGCCAAAGTTATTTTAACGTTTTTAACAGTACCTAATGATTTAGTGTTAGTTGATGCTCCAGAAAGTTTGCAAATTTTATTTGTATCAAGTATTAATCCAAGTTCTTTATAAATCTCTTCAGGCATAACAGACTTATTTCAACATGAATCTATAAGAATTGGGGTTTTAATTTTCCTCTACTACACCTTCAACAGATGCTAAATCTTTTTTATTATCTAAATGCAAAAGATCGATATCCATAGAACCATCAGAATAAGCTTCACTAAACTTCTGAATTTCTTTGCTTGTAGTTTTCTTAGTTAATCCCAAATGAGTCAATTCCTCTATAATTAATTCATGAATAATCTTTCTCAAATTTGTGGTATCAATTGATATCCCCTTACTCTTTGACTCTTTTTTCCCATCCTTAGTCTTAGTAGGAGGTTTGTTTTCCATTACTTTTTTTTTTGAACTAATTGGAGAGTATATTCATCATCATCAGTAGCAATTTCATGAATCAAATTAGTAGTATCCATAGGATCAGGAACAGGATCATTAATATTAAGAGAATAAATTCCACTGGAAAGGTCTGCAATTTCCTTATCAAGTCTTCTTTGCTCAAGCCTTTCAGCAATTCTATTTGCTATTCTATTAGTGTCAGAGATTGGCTTTATATATTGAGATTTACGCAATTGTTCTTCATGAAATTCAGTTGGATCAGAATTAAACATTTTATTCCATTCCTCAACAGTAAGATTTGTTTGGACTGGTTTTTTAAAATGATCTAGGACTGTTATTGTTTTAGTAGGAATTTCTGTCTCAATATTTTTTTGATATGGAACTTTTGGAATTTTTGCTTGTAATTCCTGAATCTGTAACTGAAAATTTTGTGTAATTTTTTCAGTAGCACTTTTGATCATTCTATCCACATCTTCTGGCGAAAATCCAGAATGACTTGGCTTATGTGATCCTGCTGATGTAGGCTGTATTTGAGCTTGATGGTCAGTACCTCCTGTTCTCTTGGATAGGCCCAATCTCATTTCAGATTTTCGTTTTTCAACTTTTTCTAAATTTTTAACTAATTCACTTACAGTTTTTTCAGCCCCAATTTGTTCCACTTCAAGTTGATTGTCTGGAGATAGCCCCCTAAAGAATTGATGATTAACTACTTCATCGCCAAAATTCAGTAGTTTGCCATATTTTTTAACTTTTTCATAGAAAGTTTTAACCGGATCATTACCTTGATCAAGAGTACCAAATTGTACTTTGCATCTTTCTTCTAATACTGAAGGATAGAAGTTTTCAAAGTAGTAAATAGCTTGACCGAGCTGAATTCCAACTAATATTATAGGAACAGCACCACTATTTCCAGCAAATCTAGGTGCATCATCTGTAGGCTCTCCACCAGAATTAGTCCAATCTTCTGCAAAAGCTTTTGGTGGGACCATTCTAGCCTCTACAGCCCCTACTGTAATTGCATTATTTCCAGGACGATGTGCAAAGGCATGTGCCAAAGAATGCAGTCTAAAACTATTAGAAGTATTCATCTGCGCCATAGTTCTAGCTTGAAGATTTGCTGTAGTATTTACAGTAGTATTGTCATATATATTAGTTAACATCCAATTTTTTCCGAGTATTTCTTCATCATACCAATCACCAGCAGGTCCAGACAAAGCACTTTGGAATAGACCTGTAGCTTGAACTCTTTGTGCATTATCTCTTACATTAATATTAATACTATCTAGAAACCCATGAAATCTCCTGACAAAAGTAGTTATATCCTCATCCATACCGCCTGAAAAATTAGGTATTGCTACTGAAACTCCAGCCATGTTGATTTTAATATGAATATCAAAGCTTCAATTTGAAAAGCCTACAAGCCAAATAACATCAGGATTTTTGGTTCTTTGTTTCCATTTTATGTATTTTTGTTGGAATATTTGTAATTGCCCATGCTTGAAGTTATAGGCCTGGATAAGCTGGTGATTGGCCTGAACAAGTGGATTGTGAGTATTATTAATAAACTGAGTCTGAGCATTAACAAATTGAGTATGAGTATTATTAAGCTGAGTATGAGCGACATTAAGCTGAAGATAATCCTGATAAAGTTGATTAAGATCTCTCTGGGCCTGTGTAAGCTGAATATTCACCTGATTGAATGCCTGAAGATTTTGCTGTAATTGAGCCTGAAGTGGTGCTAATTGATCATCATTCCATTTAGCAATATCTCAGAGCCTATGTGTAAATGTAGTAATTTTGTTAAGCTTACTCACTGCAGTCCTCTGGTTTAGAGTAGAATTGCCTGGCCTTTGAATGAACTCATCAAGACTTCTGCATGCAGTATTAATACTATCAGTACTTACATCAATTTCATTTGGATTAGGTGGCTGTATTTGGCGTGTAGAAGACATTTTTGGCTTCTTATTAAATGTTGAAATTTTATCTTCTAATGCTATAAATTGATCTTCTCTAAAAACAATAAAATTTTCTTTAGACTCTATATCCTGTAAAGCCTTCCGAAGTTGGATTGATAGATTTTTATTATCCTCTTTCAAAGTTTCAATTTCTGCTTCACGCTGTATTAGGGATTTATCCAGATAATGAATTTCTAAGTTGCTATTTTCAAGATCCCGCACTAATGATTTAATTCTAGTTTCATATTTAGATATGATCTCATCATCCTCAGCCAACTGTTTGCGCAATTCTCTATTAGTTCTGATAATTTCATCCATAATTAAAGATATAGATTTACTATTCTAATAGTTGAAAAAAACATGGAATATAGATCATCAGCAAATTTTTTTTGTGTAAAAATTATGTGTTATTTACATATATGAATTTTTTATAGGGATATTTCTCTGTATTTGTTATAATCATATAACTTTATGTAATAAATTTTATATAAATTTGCATGTCTTGCTGCTTATATAGATTTATTGTTAATTTAAATATTGCATAGAAATTTATTTGTGTAATTTTTTATAAAAAGCATATAAATTTTACATAGATCTAATTTCTATATAATTTATTATGTATATTTTTGCAGAAGTGTATTTTTATACAATTATTCTAATGAAATAAAAACCTATTTACAATAAATTCATTTTTACAATCAAATCTTTTGATTATTTGAACTTCTTCAATAATAGATTCCAAAGGGATAATATTATATTCAGTAAGAAGTTTTAAATGTGGACAATCATATTTATAAAATTTGTTTGGATTATTTGGAAATAAAAAATGATACCAATTAACCAAAGCAACATTTTCATTCAAACTATTAAATTCAGATGAAATGTTTAAAATCAAAAGAATCTAAGAATCAACAAGCTTTATTTAGTTTTTAATACAAATGGTTATTTAAAAATCTAAATGTGATTAATTACATACCTTTCCAAAACAAACTCCATCATCTGTATAATACAGTCAGGGTTTTTACCGAATTTGGAAATACTAAATACTGTAATGATCGACTCTTATGAAAAATTCTAGAAGAAATTCTGATTGGCTAAATTCTGTGCAGATCCTTTCGTTAATAATCTTTAATGAAAAAGGGAACAAGAAAAACATGACGAAAGCTTTATTTATTGGTCATATAATTTCAATAAAGTAATTAACTTGCACAAATTATCAAGAAAGATTATTCCTAACATTCTAAATTGTAATATTTCTTTAATTCTGAATTCAAATCATTCATTCACTTTAAAAAAAAGAACTTGTAATTATTCTCAAAAGAAAGGTTGTTTATCTTTAATTTACATTTAAGAAATCGGAGAGCTAGATAATTGAATCTTTAACATGTATAAATAACATTATAATTTCCTTGACTTAAAAAAGTAGTTGGAAAAATTCATAATAGTTAGTTAATAATTAATAAAATAATAAATAAAAGCTGACCTTTGAATTATATATTTTCGTAATGATAATAAACCTATCTCTAACAATGAATCCATGCTAATTCCATGCATAATAATTTCCTCTTATTTTATATTTGTCCTTCAGTGAGGTAATATTTAATAAATTTGGTTTAGTGAAGACATACCTGACTTGAGAGTAAAGCGTAAATACATATTAATATTCATGGATGTTATGTATATTGGAAGAAATTGTATTATTGTATTGGTATAAACATTAAATAAATGCATCATCATCATAGATTTTTTCCATTTCACCTTACCCATTAAATATAAACCCTAATAATTCATAAAATAATTTAATAAATTTAATATATGTATAAATTTAATAAATTTAATAAATTTAATATATATGTAACTGATAAATATTATTTTGAGTAATTCTTACATGTAAAGCGAAATTACATATTCATTGATAGGCAACTGTCTGAACTAGAAGTATATTCTATAAGTTTTATTCTATATATTCCTATGTTACTATTAATAAGAAATTAATTAATGAAATTACTCTTTTTTAAAGTTAATCAACAAAAACATTCTTTTTTTAAACTAATATATTTGAGATCCAGAACTTACTGAGGACCTTAGTTAATAGTTAATCTGAAACTGGAGGCTTTATACTATCTATTCCTCTCGTAGTACTTTTTAAATTATTAATATTAATAAGAATTTTTGTAAAAAATTACAAGATTTTCCTCTTTTTAGCTCTCATTTACTTTTTGAAGTCTGGGTGATTATTTTAAACTCTTTGGTGATTATTAAAATATGAATGTTTGTTTGTTTATTTTTATGATATGGTTTAAAATTACAACAAAATTTTTTTGTGTAAAGTCACATGAAACATGAAGTTTTTACAACGGAAATGAATGCACAAGAGCCTATTAAAATTGTGTAGATCATTCTAGAATCGATTTCCAAATTCGGTAAAAACCCTGACTGTAATAGCCAGCTGAATCTTCCTCCATTTTTATTGTTATGTTACTAAAATATGGCTTGTCATGAAATTTTTTGGTTGCTCTTATGATTTCTCCAGAATTTATTCTTGCAGGATTATATAATGTAACTTTGACTTGGTCAATTTCTATAATTTGCATCATCACTGAATTTGAAAATATTTGATCAAAATAGCTAATTATACAATCTTTTAAATTTTTTAATCCTAAAATATATTCTGGGACTGTGTTAGGCTGTAATGATTTTAATATCCCTGGTATTAAATGTAATTGAAAACTATTATTTAGATTGAGAAGTTCTATTTTGGATTCTTTGTATTTTTGTTTTTTATTGTTAGTCATCACTTTTTTATATATAATAATTACACTTTTATGATTTATCTGTAAAAAAAAATCTTGGTGAAATTAATTAAATAAATTGAAAAAAAAGAAATTCAATGTTTTATAAATTGCTAACCATTCTTATAATTTGTGGATTTGTGTTATGTTTATTTGTCATCTTGTAAAGATTTTTAACATAATACTTGTGAAGTGTCTCATATGTTTCTGCACTATAACCATTGATTGCTCCAAACATTCTAATACTTGGAATTGTGTGATAAACCCAATGATGAAATTTAGGTATATTTAAATTCAGTGGGTGAAAACCTTTTAAAAAGCTTAACAAATTTATCCAGCCCATTCATTAATTGATATCTTCAAATATTAAGGTAATTGATTAATTAATTTAAAATAATTGAATTATTCTCATAAAATAAAATATACCTGAAAATCCTCCAAATTTTCTTCAGTAAATTCTGTAAGCTGACTAAAAAGATACATTCTGCCTATATCTTGATTGTAGAAACTAAGTTATCAAACACAAATACAGATTGTTGCAAAATTGTGGATTGGCTAATTTAATTATTTAATTCATGATGCGTGATAGAAGTGTCTCATTTTTGTAAATCCAAGTATGCCCAGTGTTGACGAATTTGTTAATTGATTGGTTGAAACAGTAGATCAGTCCTAAAATTTGTTTTTAAAAAATTTTTTTTAAGCGAAGCAATTTTATGGTTCTAATGTATCTAAAAATCATATCATTTTCTGTTTGCAGAATATTTTTGTCATGTTATATTGGAGAGAAGTATTTCAATTTGTTGATTTTTACACATTTTTGCCCCGGATTGATGTATAGATTTTTATCTACTTCTATCACATATCACGAATTAAACTTTTTTTTAAACTTTTATAAATTAAATACTGTAAAAAAAAATCTTTGAAAAAAAAAATTTTAAATTTAATAAAATAAAATAAGTAACAATGCCACCTCACCAAAATAATAATAATAACATAAATTCTATCAAAAGAATTCAAATGCCTTTTTACAATCTAAGGAAAAAAAAATGCTGGTGTTAATTCACTTCTATTAGAAGAGAAGATGCAAATACTACTAATGTTGTTAGTTCATATCTACTGAAGAAGAAGAAGAAGAAGAATCAACACTTGGGTCTTTTATTGAAATAACCGATCTAGAAAGTCATGATATGTTTTTGAAAAGAAAGGAATTGTCAGAAGATTTAGATTTTGAAATCACCAAAAAGCCAAAAACTATTATAGGTTTCTTTATAAATGTCCTTTTTACATTTAACAATAATAATTTATTTTATTATATATCTCAATTGTAAATATTTTTAGAAGTTGGTTCTGTATTCAAATTGTATTGAAGAATCAAAAGAAAATCAAAAATGATATTAAAAATCTTGTAAATCAAAATTCTAAATTATTGGAGCTTGCATTAAAAACCAACCAAGAAATAAAAGATAATATAAAGAAAATACAACAAGAAAAAGATAGTGGATGGTGGAAGGTACAATAATATAATATTATAATAATTAGAAGATCTATGCAATTGATTTTTTTATTTTTGTCTAGGATGAAACTATACATTGCATAAAGAATTTATTAAGCAGATATATGTATCCTGATGAAAAACAACTCATGAAAACTATCAAATCAACTTTAGAAAAAAAATTGTGAAGAATATTTTGTTAGAGAAGAGTTCCCTCTTATTTGGAGAAAAGATTTAAAAGCTTTGTATTATTGAATTTTTTTTGTAATCAATTATTTTTTATGATTATAGCTAGTCACTAATTTAATTTTTAACAGTCAACAGACCAAGTAAGATGTGTTCATGGTTCTATGTGTTCTAGAATTAAAGAATCAATTTATAAGGTTTTTACAAACATAGAAAAAGTTGACACATCCACTCCAATATCTGTAATAAATAATTGGAAGGAATCAGAAGATGTTAAAGAATGTTTGAACAATCTTGATAGCCTTAATCCTAATGATGATGAAAGCCACTCAAACATTGAAATTATTAATCTACTTGTGTGGAAAAGATCAAATGTGACCAATAGACAAATGGCCTTTACTAGAGCTGTTTGCCATTGTATTCTAAATTCAGAACATGAAGGTGTTAAGATTGATCAAACATATATTCTTGATAGAATGCAAGATTTTCTTGTATGTATTATTTCATTTAATATAGATGCTGTTACAATCACCTTTGCAAACACTTTGGGTTATAACATTATAAAATCTTTGATATTATTATTACATTTAACAGGGATATGATCCAACATCATCTTCTAATGCAGAGTGATTGATAGTGTACATATAATATAATTGCTTCACATACTGTACATAATAATTATTTTATATTATTAATGTTTTCTTCATATATTTATGAATTCATTTGTTATAATTACACTAATAATAATAAAAATATAAATAATAAATGCATTCAAAGTTATAGAAAAATGCTTTTTATAAATGTAATTTTTATACAAATCTACAAATTTATAAATGTAATTTTTATGCAAATCTACAAATTTATGATTTTTATAAATGTAATTTTTATACAAATTTACAAATTTATAATTTTTATAACTACATAAAATTTATTGAGGGTTGTAAAATTTACATAGATAATTTTATATAAAATTACATAATATTTATATAGATTTTATGTACAAAAAATTTGCTGATGATTATATGATAATGATGAATATCAGCCTTTAGAGCAAGGAAATAAATATTCACCAACATGGCCATTTAGAATGGTTGTGGCTGGAAGTTCTGATTCGGGAAAAACTACAATGCTTTTGAACCTTCTTATAGGCACTAAAATGGTGGATAAAGAGAATGGATCCAGATATATTCTCTGCAATGATGTAATTTTAATCGGTAAGTTCCTAAATGAACCAAAATGGAATATTGTCTGAGATTTTTATAACAAACTTGCAGAAACTGAAGATGTATCATTCAAAGCATTACCTCCTTCTGAGATTCCTGATACAGATGAATTCAATCCTGAATGATCTACTGTTATAATATTTGAGGATCTCATGCATGAATCTAAAAAGGTCCAAGATAAAATTGCGCAATATTTTACTCATGCTAGACATAGTAATGTCAGTCCAATTTATGTATCCCAAAGATTCTTTGCAGTTCCTAAACCCATCCAAGAAAATGTTACCTATATTTCAATACATAGAGGAGGAGGATCCTTGTTTGATCTCAAAAATATTCTGAATCATTATTCAGATCATCTGGTACCAATTATAGATGATTTAACAATGAAAAAAGAATTTATTGTGATTGATACTAGACAGTCTAAAGATGATCCCTTATCAATTAGACATATGTGGGATGCACAAACTGAGATTCTTCCAAAAGATAGCAAAGCCTTTAGTATAACTAAAGAAAAACTAGAGCCAAAAATCAATAAAAATTTGGTAAATATTGTAGAGACTCGAATTTCTGATTCCTCATCATCCCAGAGTAAATTTAGTATTGCTGGTCAAGAGGCTATATCTCAAGCAAAAAAAGAAAATCGCCTAGTAAAGTTTGCTAGAAATATGCCATCCCCAAATAAACGCAAAGAATTATTATCAGAAGGTATCCAAGCCAAAAATAGTGATACATGGGCTAAGTATATTTACCAGGAAGCTTTAATATAAAAGATAAAGATCTTGGTCCTGGATGGCTTGATTTTATTCAGAAAGTTAAGGAGAATATAAAGTATCCATCTCCTATAGTCTTGGAAAAAAACTCTCAATTATTGCGTTATAAAGATCTTTTGGATTCAAGGCCATTGGATGAAAAAAAATATATAGAGGGATGTGAAATACTTACCTGGCTCCTTTCTAATGGCCATATTGATAAAAAAATATACCGCATTGGAATTAAGGAATTGGAAGAATAATTAATAGCTTCTCAAATTCCATTTTTTTGGAAGATTTCTGATAATTCATCCTCTGATGCATTTATCATTACAATAGAGCACCATTTGCCATTATGCTTCTTTCTCATTATTACTGTTTTTAAACCTAAAGCTGTTAATGCCCTTGAAATCTGATTTTTATTAAGAGGACTATCTACACTATTTGCATAATTATCATAGAACTTCGAAAAGCTTTCATTTATATCAAAATATTCATCTTTCAGATATTTATAGAATTGTATTTCTTTAACAGAACTAGGTGAACTATTGATAAACTCTAATAAACATAATTTGATATATTCAATATCATTTGATCAATTATGGTCTTCAATCATTTTTTCAAAAATTTCTATGACATTAAATGAAAGAATCTTATTATGCTGAGATTCAACAAAGTGTGAAAAGTATTTCTTAAATTCAATGAGCTGTTCAAAGTCCTTGATTCCATTCACATGAAGGCATAAATTATTTGCAGTATATCCTACAGGCTTTGCAATTATATGCCCACAGGCATCACATGTTCTTTTTCTATTTGACATTTTGATTTTAGTATTTTTCTAACAGTAATATATTTATTTAATTCAAAGATTGCCCATAGAGAATTAATTAATATGATGGTTTGTGTTCCCTACAGTATTCCCCTTCCTGCATAGAAACATTCTCAACAAAGAGTAAGATTTAAATCCAAAAGTTTTTCTCGGTGTACAGCCATAAGTTCCTCATATGTAGTAGGAAAATTCATATTTCGTTGAGGATCATGAGTATTAAAATTAGAATGAGTATCTTCAGGAGTAGTTGGATTAATTACTTGTTTCCGTGTATGAGCAATTTATTTTTTTCTATGATAATTGTTATGTCGCACAATATTAATAAAAAACAAGCATGGGGAATCTAATAGTGCACCATTGGATCGACTTCCAGAAGAAAGAGAAAGGTTGCAAAATTTGATTTCTAATTATTCACTTCATGATGTGTTTAATTGTGACGAAACAGGCTTATACTGGAATACAGAACCTTCGAAAACACTAGCTACAAATAAAATTTCAGGCACAAAAAATTCAAAAAATAGAGTAACAATTCTTTTGACATGTAACGCTACAGGTTGTGAGAAATTTATACTTGTCGTCGGAATTCCATAATTATGGCAAATTCGGCATTACGTATAAGCCATAAATGATTTTTGGCACGAGACCTCAAAGTCATAAAAGTCGTAAACCGTAAAACCATAAAACCGTAAATGCCATAAATCCCGTAAATGCCATAAATCCTAATACCATAATAGAACAGGAGAGAACATCCTATATAAGGAATGGATTTTCACAATTGATTTAAATTTTTTTTATACAGTTTAAAATACTTTTACAAGGGTATCATGTAGCCCATTCTTACAATAAATCATGTGCAAATAATTACACAAACTTGAAGCTTTACACTTTGTTGTTATCATATCTTTTGAATCCCTTTGAATCCCACAACTTTCATAATACGATTTACTTGAAGAAAAATTGCCTGAAATTGAACATTGCACAGAATGTAAAACCACTGAATCAGCTAAATTTCATCAACGAAAGGCAATAAATGGAAAGAAGCTGAGAACAACAACTTAGAGAAAGTAACATGTTGTTTTATGTAACATTTGTTATATGAATTTTGTAGAAAAGAGAACCTAGGAGAGTAAAAACCACAGATGCAGAAGGGGAAGAGATAAGTGAAAAGGTTGATTTCACTAAAGCCATCAAATACAAAGATTGCTCCAAGAAATAGAACCAAGCTTGAAGGGTTTTTTAACCAACTCTATTTAGCAGCTCAGCCATTTGAACATAATGGATCATATGAAGAGATTAATGGTGGTGTTCATGTATTATCTTCTTCTTGTTTTAAATAATACAAAAATTAACTCTTTTAAGTTCGAACTTGCATTCTATTTAGACTCAGTAGATACAAGTCTTGGAGTAACTACAACATCAAAAGCAGTAGATCGTAAAAAGAAGCAAGTTGCAGATGAACATGAGAAATATGTAGAGAATACACTTACAAAATATTCAAAAAATACATTCTTTATTGAATGTTGACAATTCACGTCTAGAGACAATCAGTATCCTTTAATTACTAAAACTTTGAAACCATCTACAAACATTTTTTGCAATTGCGTATAATGTGATTACACTAACTATACTAATTTGAATAATTGTAGTGTACCCATTTATCACAATCATTGTCTACAAAGGTGTCGATCTAAATATTTGATATCTTGGACTATCTTCAAGTCGAAATCAAAAAAAATGTCAACACACTAAAAGAAAATATGATGAAAATATTAAATGAAAATGAATTTATCGAAAATAATGAAAATACAGTTGATGATGATCTGGGCAATGTTGAATCAGCAACAGATGACAGCAACAATGGAAATTTTATTAGAACATGCAAAAAAAATTTTTTGGGTTGTAAATTTTATTTTTATTAAATAAATTTGTTTGATTTTTCATACATTGTTCATTTTTCGTCACAATCATTTATCTTAAATTTGTTGTGTTTACAATCATTTCATTTTGACATTCATTATATTAAGGTTATTTTGATTATATGGTCAAGAGAAGAGTTAGGAAGAGAGTTATTCTTCGACCAAGTCAAAAAACAACTCTTTAAATACATTTTTGAGTAGTACAATTTAATTTATTAGACTATTTCAATGGTTTGTCACCAACTTTTAAATTCGTTAATGAAACAATTGTTGGTGAAGTGATCATTGACAAAATGAATCAAACCCATATTAATATTTATTTCTACGTTTATCAAATTCGTGATTTTAATTGGTCAATCAACAAATAGCATGGGTTAAAATTTTGTGTTCCCTCCTGTTAATTTTTGTGTTTCCAGAACGGTCTCTCCTGTTACCTCGATGACATATAAAAACACAAAAGTAATGTATATGGATTAGCATAATGGACACTGTAAAACAAGCCATTTTATTGGCCAAATTTTGTCGATCTTATTTCAAATCATCACACAAAA